TTTAACGAGCGGTCTGTATGCAGGCATTAGCATGACAGTGATGTGGTCTGAGGCACCGAGGTGGGGGAGGGGGAGGTTCTTGTAAGCTCCTCTCTAGGTGGTGTAAACAATGTCCAGAGTGTTGCTTCCCTGTGTTGGAAAGTCTATGTGTTGTAAGGGTTGAACGACTTCTGATTTTTTTAAGTCGACTTTTATGTGATGAAAGTCGAGTCGATGTATACTGTTGCGCCCTCTATAGGATCAGCGACTAGTCGACGTCAAGCTTAAAGCATCATGGCAGAGCATTGAAGTCGACTAGTCGATTAGTCGGTGCAACCCCTAATGTGTTGGTGTATTTTTTGGGAACACACTCTTTAAAAAATTGTTGACACAGGTGTAAGTGTACAAGTGTAAGAGAGGGGGACACAGGAATATTTCCAGATCATAAATTTAGGGATGTACTTAAAGTCTCAGTCAATGGACTAAAGCATACACTGTTTCGTTAGTCGACATTTTTTTAAACAAAGTTTAATCATTTACAAAGAAAATATAAAATAAATATTTTTTGAACTTCACTTAAAACATCAAAAATATATATTTTTTAAAAACAACAATGAAATAAAATGCAAATAAATAATTTTCATAAGTTGAAATTTAGGGGTTAGGGTTCAAGACAGCCACCTCCCAATTCAAAGTACCCAATAAATTATGATTTTATATATATTAAGCTTACTGATATTTTAAATATTATTGTGGATTTCAATAGATAATAGAAGGATCTTAGTAAACATCTAAGATTTGAATTCTTAAATGCTTTTTAAATGTGTTTTGTCGTTGTGGGACAGCAGTTTGCACCAATTCTGTAGAATGGCCCATATATATGTCAGGAGTATGGACTGTTTGTGTGTATGTTTTTCTCCCCATGTGCTCCGTGACCTAGTTTTCCCTCTTGTTTGATTAGTAATTTGGTTCAGGTGTGTCCAGTTCATTACCCTCGTTTAGTTCTGTATTTAAAATGTTGTCCGTTCCTTGGTTCCTTTGTCCAGTGTCGTTTTTGTAATGTGGTTGTCTTCCTAGTTCTCTGAGTTCTCTGTGTTAGAGTTATAATAAATATGTGGTTTCCCAATCCTGCTCCTGTGTCATGCTCTTCACCGCAGCCACACGTGACAATATGTTTATAAACATCTTGTAAAAATGAATAATGAAACTTTTTTTTTGCTGGAAAATTATGACTAGCTGACATTAGCAATTCTGCTTATTTGCCATCAAGATCATCAATTGTCACAAAGACAATGTAACAAAACTGTAGAATACATCAAAGAAAGCCAAATGTTAAGTCTGTATGGCACAAAACTCTCTCACATTAGTCCTGGACCAGCAGGCCATCCTTAGTACCGAGCCCTGTTATTGTAAATCATCTCATGAATAATATGACAACTAAATAACTGATCCCCATCAGAATGAATCCTCCGCTAATACATCCCACTTTACCATTTCCATTCCTGGGCAATCAATCAATATTATTAACATATTTGTGCAGATATAATCAAATGTCTGTTGGATTTCCTGTATTATGGTGATGTTTACCTTTCTCTTCGATTTGAAGACATTGCAGCGGAACACATTGCTTTTCTTGTCTCTTGCTATGTAACTGAATATCTTCAGGTCCTGTGAGTCATGAGAGACGTAAAATATTCTGAAAAGAAAAAAAAATGACTAATGAGCTGCAGCAATTGACCTTAAAACTATCTCATTGCCATGGCAACAACAAGGCCAATGTGCTCTTCACTTACTTGGTTCCTTTGACGTCATAAAACATTACAGAAATGCATTAAAAGTGCTCACTAGATTTTGAAAGTGCAACAGCTAAATGTTAGTGTTACATTACATTGGCGTCAAACTGAAACTCTAGAAATAGATCCATTTCAGAACAAACATGTTGGTAATAACTGACATTGTTTTAATACAATAAAACTAGAATGGACTGACACTAGTCAACACTAATGATGTTACTGTTAAACAGTGTGTTTATGTGCACTGGAGACTGGTTGCTATGGGGATTTCGAAAGACGTTCTGTTTTTTGTTGCAGCTCACGGAGCAAAATGATTTTGATGTGACGTGTGCGTGCAAAATGACAAAGGTCATCAAACCCCACAGGCCATGTCACTCCAGTCATGAGCAAAATTAGTACTCAATGTTATGTAAACAAGTTGAGGTTAAATTACCTGAAAATGGGGTCCTGGGCCAGTGTCACTTGGCTTTCATCCCAGCTATAGTCATATTTCTAACATAAATATATAGCACATATTTAGTCAAGAAATATGTTAATTATTAATTGTATATACAGAATAAATTGTACAAAAAATACATGATCAGAAATAACTGTTATTATAAAATTACGAGGAGAAAAAAATTGAAACACCTCACCTTTTTCTTCTTCCGCAAAACCACCTTGACACCATCCACTGACACAATAAGGTTGACTTTCTTCTTCTTGATGTTCTTAATTTTAAACTCATACTGAAAATGATACAAAACATGACGGGTTGAATTAATTAAAACATGAATCATGACATGAACCTTAAACTTAAAAAATGGTAACCTAAAAATGGTAACATCTAAATTAAGTAGTTTTATATTTTTTTTTAAATAATATATATATAATATATATATTGCATTTTTTACTTTATTTGAATAAATAAATACAAAAGAACAATGTTAAACGTTTTGTATATTAATATTCTGTATATTTTTATATTGTATATACTAGTCAAAAATTTTTTTACATTGAGGCTTATACGGGTCATTTTTGACCCAAACAAGTGTCATGTTTTGTTTTTAACAGTCCACCAGAGTTGATTTTTAATGAACATACAACATGCTATATAGGTCTGAGGGGGACATCCAAAAACAACATATGAAATGCAAATGAATTTATAATTTATCAGGCTACAGGTTCTGTTTGAAAAAATGTGGATTATAACATGTATATCTCAAATCAAACAGATGATCAATGTCTAGGAAACTTGAGCAACTTGCACTGATAAGAGATGTATCAAGATATCAACCACCAATCAAGATGCTATTGCTTCTGGAAGACTTGCTAGCTCTGTTAGATGCAGACTGCATGAATAATCAAAGACTAGGAAATAAACAGGAAATCCACAGGGGTCGGATTAAAGGCGACACACTAGGAATACTGAAGAGTGGCTGGGTTAAAAGAGCTCTCTTTCATCCCAAGCTTTGATTAATGCTAACATGGACCACTAAGGCGAGCTATTTTCTAAGAAGCTTGTTACTCCGGCTGCTCTCAGTTCTCCTCAAAATACATAAAACAGAGGGTGATATCTTAAAAAACTTGAGCGCTATGATAACCTACTGACTTTATCAATTGATTTATCAACAGGAAAAGTTCCCTAAAGAGAAATCTTGTGCAAATAAGTCTAAATATTGCACAAACATTCTCTTTGATGGAGCAAAGTCGATTAAGCTGAACCGTACTGCCGCTGCCAGCACACTGGTGCAATCTCATAAATACTGGACCCCTGAGAAGAGAAGACATGAACGAACAGTCTTTACACAGGAACTACATTATTAGAATAAACAACTTCCAACATGAACCACCTGCATGACCTAATAAATGGGATTTTTCATATTTTGTGTGAGTCCATAAAGTGTGAGCCCATAAAGTTGTCCTACCAGGGCCAGTTATACAGAACAAACTGCATAATCATTAAGAGCTTTGAAAAACTCTGGGAATTATGTTACATGGTTACAAAGACATGTTTTATTGCAAAACGAAGAAGAAATATTTAAGGTTTTGCACTATTTCTAGGTCCAAAAATAAAATTTATTTAATTGAGCATGTGAACATTTGAACATACTCTCAGATTATCACATCTGGTTTTACACAAGATTTGGGAGTTTATGCAGCTTGAGTCTGAACAAAGAGTAAGACATTCTGACATTTTTCAGTTATTTCAGTTGATGATTATTGTTTTTGTTGTTTCTTTAATATTATTACAAGCATTTTAGAAAATGTATTATTATTATTATTATTACTTGTGTGACCCAAGACATGGACAAGCACTTTGGAAAACTGATTCTTCTTCTTCTTCTTTTTATACTATATAAGTATTAATATATAGTAATATAATGCATTATGCTATATATGAATACTGTATAATTAAAATGTACATTAATGTCCAGCAATAGCATCATTGTAGAACTTGTGAATCAGTCATTTGTGTGCAAGATATGCTATTCATACATCATTCTTTCAAAAAGGTTCAACTGTCTGCATCCTTATGAAGATTTTCCAATATTTCATCTGTCAAATTCAGGAACCCTTACCCGTATTCGTCTCATAGCAGCCAATATTTCAATTCTGCTTTTGGGTCGCACGATATCCAGGCTCCCAATGAACTGTGGCAGAAGAGGTTAAACAAGAAACATAAGATTATACTGTAGCCTATATTCTGGGAAAAAGTCAATGATTTGCATACAAGTGAAGTAGCCTACAGGTAGGCACTTAATGGGGAAACTTTGTATTACAGTGTCCATGTAAATATTACACATTAATAAAGTAATTACAATGAAAGTGGGCTGTTACAATGATAACTACATGATAATTAACTTGCATATTTAGTACTCATAATGCAAATATTTGGTAACAGGTACACTAATGAAGTGTGAGCCCATTAAAAAATTCTATGTTTTCTAATATTTACCTTCACGTCGAATGTGAGCCCATGCTGGAACTGCCCATCATTATCAGCAGGAATCCTCTGATCCACTGAGTCGTCAACCAAATTATATTTACTCTTCTCCAGCATCGTTTTATGGTATGGAAATATCGTTCGATACCTTTATTTACTCAAAACATTCTGAAGCCTCCTGGCTGCAGTGATTTCTGAGGGGTTTCTCGCAGAAAGATGACGGCGGTCCTGTAAATGTCCAAAAGCAGGCAATGATGCTCCTCCGCAGAGGGATCCAGCATAATTTAGAGTAAATATGACCTCAGTGTTTGTTTCATAGCCGAGCAGACGGTTCAGAAGACGTACGCTGACTGTTAGCACGCAAAGTCTGGATTTCCAGCATGATGATAAATAGCCCACCTGTCCCCATTGGCGCAGACTCTCCCTTAACGTAAATGTATGGGTCTTACTATGGAGAAGGCTCCTAATATTCATCAGACAAGCATTCGCCATTGGATACTAGCGCGACCTGATTCATGTTCATGAGGCAAACATTTCCCATAGGAAGGATATCAAGCAACGTATGCAGGAGTTAAATTAATATTAATTTGATAACCTTCAGCGTAGTAGTATTCGTAATTCGCGTCCATGATTTCAAAAAAGGTTTGTGTGAAGCCTGAAATATACCGGACTGGAAATACTTATGAAGTGCTGACATCTTGTGGTTAAAAACCACTACTTATCTTATAATGTGTGTAAGTAGTATTTATAAAGTTTTAGCTTTTAGTTTTGGATGTGTTTTTAGTTGTTTTAATACTACAATTGATTGCTTCTGTTGTCCTCATTTGTAAGTCGCTTTGGATAAAAGCGTCTGCTAAATGACTAAATAAATAAATAAAAAGGTAGCGCCTGATGAGTGCATTCACACTGCATGGTAGAAAAATCGTTGCACTCATACGAATACATTTTTAAAGCCAAGCACTCTGACTTAGGCTAAACCAGAAGTTAGGATTTAAAAGTTCTGTAATACTATAGCTACAAACTGACAGGCTTATCCTTAGGCTGATGATACATGGGGCAACTTTTTGAGCAATGTTGCTGGGCAAGTTTGGGCAATGTTGCCGTCAACGGGCAACCAGGTGAGACACAGGGCCAACGACCGATCTAAAGTATCCAGGTAGAAATTTGTTACCCATTCTCAATGGGAAAGTGTCCAAGCAAAATTGCTCAAAACGTTGCCCCGTGTATCATCAGCCTAAGCCTGTATTTAAGGGGCTTTGACCAGTCTCAGTGTTTACAATATGTAGGCCTACCAATACACACACAAACACCGAATATATCTAGATTATAATATATCTCAACAAAACGTAACTGTTGCGTGTGTCTGTGTGTGTGTGTGTGTGTGTGTACACCTCGTATTCCCATTCCCTACATTACAGGGACCAAATGTCCCCACAATGATAGTAATACTAATAATTTTTGACCTTGTGGAGGCATCATTTTGGCCCACATGAGGAAAACAACTTGCAAATCATACTAAATTAAGTTTTTTGAAAATCTAAAAATGCAGAAAGTTTCCTGCGAGGGGTGGGGTTAGGGAAAGGGGATAGAAAATACAGTTTGTACAGTATAAAACCATTATGTCTATGGGAAGTCCTCATAAAACATGCAAACCTGTGAAATTTGAAGCTAAATTAAGAAGTAATTTCAGACTAAATTAGATATTAGGCAATAACATCACCACAATGTTTCTTATTCTTTCCACTTCTTTACTCTTATTGTTAAATGTCCTCTTTCCACCCACCTAATGTCAGTGATCAACTTTGTTTTTGGCGTAACTGAAACAGGATGTTGTTCTTACACCCACTTCCTCCCTATAAGCAGTTTCAGTGTTGTTACTGTTAGTAATCAAACACTTTAAAAAAATGCTTGTAAATTTTACAGAAAAGGTATACTGTTAACACCTGTTAACTGGTTAATATAAGTTACCCTTGCAATATACAAAAATAAATAAATAAATAAAAAACCTAAGAAAACACATCACCACCTCGGTTGTGCATTTGCTAAACAGCCCGTTGTCAATTATTTCCAACATATTGTATTATTGTATTATTTATTAACATTGTATTATTTATTAACATAATTGCATTATAATTTCACTGTAAAATACTGTGAAATTTATGGTTTTGGAAGTAACAGCTATAAATTACTGTGTAATTGTGTTTTAAAACAGTAAAAGGACTTTCCCAGAAGCTGCTGTGATACACATCATATGATTATATTTTATTTAAACAGTTTTTTTTTTGTCAACAATAATTTACATTTGGATGTTTTGCATTACATTTTATGTTATTTAGTGTTTTAAACCTTATTTTAGTGCTTGAGTCTTAAGTGATGTGTTTATGACCATGTGCACCGTCCAGTTAACTGGCGAATGGCAGTTAATTCGTATGAATTCGTATGCAATTTCATTCATATGCCTTCGTATGATCCACTTAAACTGCACAGCAATAATCAAATTGTATAAGAATCAGTGATCTTAACACTTCTAATCAGTTTAGAAACTATAACTAGGATAAATTCTTATAAATTCATATGATCTCATTCATACATTTATCGACAACTTGCTTACTCAAGGTTAGGTTTACGGGTGAGGTTATGCGAGTGAAGCTTCATACTTCATACTTTCATATAAATCAAATTGTACAAATTCATACTAAATGAGTGCTGGAAATGTTTTATGGACAGGCCACAATAGCTCTGGTTCAATATGTAGCTTTCAGTTTTACCACCTTATTATGGTGGTTAACAGTACACTTCTATGGTTAAAACCAGAGTTTTGTAGTTCTAGTTGGTATTAACATTATATAATTTCACTTTTAAACCTGCACTGTCTTTTTGCTCTCTTTGTCTTCAATTAGCATTTTAATGGGCTGTTGACTAATGAGATGAACACGTAGTCTGCCTCACTGATGCTGCTTTTGATATTTCAGGCATCATTATCAAAACTTTCTCCATTTATAGAGACAAGTATGACCTTAATGTTGTTTTTATGTTCTTTTGGCTCATGGGTCTACCTCTCAAGGTGTTGAGAGACTTGTGTCATCATCCTGAACTAGATTGTGATGTGACTATAAATAAGTGCGCACAATAACACAGCAAACGTGCACACTGCTTGACACACTATTGTTCACAGTACAGAAACAGGTGAGGAGATTCTGTCTCAGAACGCACTGTACCTATTGAGTTTTTGATCTTATTACTTTAGGGGCCTTTGAGGCTTGTTGTTCCACAGTTCATCTTTTGTCAATTTGAGCTCAAATCAGTGTAACAGCCCCCTTTGGAGATGAAGAAAGAAAGAAGAGGGAGAAATGGAGTGAGAACACTGTACAGACACAATGTGAAGGATGAATGTGAATGTTCTCTTAGAAAAATGTTTGCTTGATAACAGCAGGTTGCTAAATGAAGCTAAATGAAGCCAATCAGTTGTAATTGTTGCATTTTCAGTAAAGCTAAAGTACCCATCATGCATTAGAGGCTTAATCTGGGATATTTTTTACTTGTCATTGAGAAATTAGTACACTGAAAAAACAGAAACAGTTAGCAATCTGAAATTGCTTGTAAATTTCACACTTTAATTACAAAGAAATGGTAAGTAACACATTAAATTAAACATGGAATTTTCAAAGATTAAAAGAAAAAGTATTTTCTTGTACACTGTAAAAAAAAAAAAAAAAA